GGGGAATCATTTAGGGAAATAAATGTGTTTGACAGCAGGATGGTAATGCACACTTTGAGATCCCTGAGTTAGTTTCAATGTTGGAACAAAAAGAGAGTTTGTGTGAAGTTATCTGGGTATTTAAACCATTCTGATAACTCCAAGGGGCAACTTTTAGTCCCCATGTTATAACCATTCAGCAGCATTTGACACAGTTAATTACATCCTCCTTCTAGAAACCTGAAACATTTTCTTCATTTGGCTTTTGAGAAATCCCAATGCTCCTGATTCTCCTTTGCTGGATTCTTCATGATCTCTGAATGTTGGTGTGCCCCAGACCTCTTCTCCCTCTTTAGCTATCTTTTATATGGCAGTATTTTGCTGATAAGGAGCTCTGGTGGCACAGTGCCTAAGGCATTTGACTGCTAACCAGAAGGTTGGCGGTTCAAACCCACCAACTGTTCCATGGAAGCAAGATAAGGCAATCTACTTCATCAATCTTTATAAAGATATACTGTCTTGGAAACCCAATGGGGGTCGCTGTGAGTCGGAATTGACTTGATGGCAGTGGGTTTGGTTTTTTGGTTTTTGCTGATGGCTTCAAAACTTACGTCTTCAGCCTTCACTTCTGTACTCACATATCCAACTTGTTATTCAACATTTCTATCAGGATATTTAGCATACATTTCAAACTCTATTTTCTACTTATAAAATGTGCTTCTCCTGCATATATCTCAATAAATGGCATAATGATTGTTTTAATTGTTCAGTTCTTTCTTTGATTTCCCTTTTTCTCACATTTTACATCCAATCAGTCAGTAAGTACTGTTGGCTCTGTCTTCAAAAGGCATTACAAATCTAACCAATTCTCATCATCTCTACTGCTATGATTCAAATCCTCACTGGATGCTGTAATCTCTTGTTTTCCATGCTTCCGTTCTTGCCTCTCTACTCCAAATGGCAGTTGAAGAAATCATTTTAAAATGCAAATTAGACATTGTCATATTTCTGTTCTAAACTTTAGTAGTTTCCCTGCTCAAATAGAATAAAATCCAAAATTGCTTCCATAAGCCTATAAAGTCCTACATGATAAGGCCTCTGGCCACCCCATGTCTCCACTGAGAAAGAAGGTATTAAGAAATTCTGTAGAGGGGAGAACTTGGCCTATAACTCCAGAGTTGGGAAATAACAGTCCAAAGAGGAGTGTCCAACTCTTGTCTGAAAGTGTTTAAAGGTAACAGACTGGCAGGGGTTTCCTGTGGTAACAATAAGGAGCTAAGAACTGTCAAGTTTTCTCAACAGGTAGTAGATATGATGGTATGTGGTTAGGGTAGAATTGTTTTAAAAAAGAAATAAAAAAGGATAGAAGCAACTCCAGTAAGGAAAAAAGGGATAAGCAATTACCAAAATGAGGTTGTATGAAGAAAGCCACCAGAAGAAAAGTTGCGAGGAATGGTGAGATGATGGTTGGGGCAATGCTGAAGGTATCTGGAGTGTCCAAAAACATACAAAAGTATCTAATGACAGAAAGCACTCCTAAGATTTGGGCATTTGCTAGAGAGGAGACAACAATCTCAGTCTAAGATAGCCTTTTCTTCTCATTCCTGAACGGACTTTGAAGTATCTTGAGTTAACAGAGTGAGTGTGGAACAAGAAGAAGTAAACAGTGGATGAATAGAGACAAAACAGATAATTTCTCCTTCCTTATAGCCAAAATTGTGGATGGAACTTATCTGAGAAATGGTTGGAATCCTATTGAACTTTTAAGTAACTAAAAATGAGACAAATGAATTTATTTCTGGACTCCCAACTCTATTCCACTGATCTATACGTCTGTCCTCTACTAGTATCAAGAGCAGAGTAGATAGGCTTTATCACTGTGTGAAATATTAGGTGATGATTAATATACTGTTCTCATAGTTCCCTATTAAATTTCAAGAGATTTTAGGCATCATATTAGGAGTGTTTATAATTGGAGATTATACCTATGGCTTTTTTGTATTATGAAATATATCAAGCATAATAAAAAAAAACAAGATATTTTTTAGAGTAAGACATGCTAATTACAACCTACTTTAACTTCTCTTTGACTCAAGTAGATATGAACTGGGATAATGGAACATTATAAGTAAGCACATATTAGTAGACAAAGTAAGTGATCTATTTTCCCATTTCTTGAATACAATTGGTACTTCCATAACAATGTTTGGTGTAGATGACAAAAATGTAAAATATCTGAAAGACACAATATTTTTTATATTTTATTAAAAATTTAAATAAGATTCCACATAGTAACTGTTAAACAATAAAATAGATATGTATTTATAGTTACATAATAAATACAGTTAAACAGAACAAAAGGAAGATAATATTTTGTAGGAAGATAGTATTTTGTAAGCAAATAGAGAGTTATAAAGTATTAGCCTTTTTTATGTAGTTAACTTATAGATATGCAAAATAAATGTGAGAAGGAATAACTGTTTTGAAATCCCACTCTGTATGATACTTGAAGAAACATATTGAGTATAAAGTCAAAACTTTATAAAGATAAATCAATGACTTATCATTCAACATTTCCAATTATAAACTTCATTGCATTTATGGCTACTGTAATTTAACTGAGAAAATATAGAAGAAAATTCAACTGCAAGTTCTTGCATTCTCTCTTTCACTTTTCCCGTCTTCCATCTCATCTATCCCATTCTTCCCTTTACTATATTTCTTCCCTTTCAAAACTGAGCCAGAGAGAAATTTTTCTGGGTAACTAAGTCAGTTCCCACAACTAGTATAGAAATGTATCAGACTCAATAAAAAAAATAGTTTTAAAAATGAACTTCAGATATACTAGAAGACTAAGAATCCAAATGTGAAAACTTTCAACTTTATAATATTATTTTGCATGGTTTATTGGATTAGTTTATTTTTATTTTGACTTTCTTCTTTAGTGTCAATTCTAATAAAGCATAGTTCTGCAGATTTAGTAGACAGACCACCAGCAAGCAAAGGGATTAAAGTCAACTGTTGCTTTATGTTGATTATAATACTAATTGTTCAAATAAATTTATGCTTATTATTTAACATTATTTGGTGGCATAGGGCCTAAGGCATTTGACTGTTAACCAGAAATTTGGCAGTTCAAAACCACCAGCCACTCTGTGGAAGGAAGATAGGGCAATCTACTGTAAAGATTTACCACCTTGGAAACCCAATGGGGGTTGCTATGAGTTGGAATCAACTTGATGGCAGTGGGCTTTTGTTTTGGTTTATTTAACAAAAAGGCTTGATAAGAGTAGATGGAAAGTCCAGTTTTCATAAATTATTTTTACAAATTTTTAAATGGTCTGCATAAAATATTCAGAAATTCTTTCAATCATGTCTTAAAACATTTGGCTCATGATTATACTGGCCAACTAAAGTACATTCTTTAAAAATAAAATGTGTTATTTGGCAGGCATCTGGGTACATGGACATTTGTGTGTTTTCATTTAAAGAAATAATGTAAGAGATTTTCTCAGATGACTTATTTTGCCCCCACAAACTTTCACTCTTTGAAAAATGCATAATTACTTTACTTTGGAAATCATGTAACCTACACACATTTTATAAAAATCACATTGTGGGAACATGGATTATCTATTATGCATCTGAAATATACATATCTATCTATTTATGCAAATATATCTAAATATCTAATATATAGAGAGATCTGAAAACATCAGAAGCCATGCTGTTTGATGTCATATGAGTCTAAAATAATCCATGATATATGGCTTTTCCCAGATGTCTTGTAGATTGCTCAACAGTCTAATTGTTTTCATTGTCTTTAGTGGCAGCTATTTAAACAATTGTGTTTGAATAACACTGTAGGAGGCATACGGGTTATTATAAAGGGGTACTCCATACTGTCAGGCCTACAAGGTCATTATAATCTTTATAATACAATGAGACGATAAAGGCTGATAAGAAGGATGTAATAAATATCTAAAACCGTACTGGGCAGAAAGGGCACTAGAACACTCTGTCTCTTTGTTGTATGTGTGTGATTACATGTGTGAATGTAATGAAAATAACAGTATGAGAATTATGGATAATGAGTTGTGTGGTAGAGATTTATGGAATGAGTTTTGAACACAATTTTGGAAGAAAGGTGGTTTTTGGAGGGAAGAATGGCAAGAGTGTGGCTTCAACCAAGATGGTAACAGGCAGTTGGCTAAACATGAAGCCATTTGGTATAAGATCTTAAGGCATATGATCATAAGTTTGAATCTGATTTAGGGCAGTACTGAAAAGCCACTACAGGCAGAGATATAACGGAAGCCACACTTCAAGAGGATGCTTTTTCTCGCTGTGATTCAGTTAATTTGGATGAGGAAAAGGCTTTGGGAAGGGAGGGCTTATGAACAATGGTGGGTAGTAAAAGCAATTAAAACCTGAAGTGGGGCTACAGCTACAAAATTAAATTGAAAACTTAAAGTCCAAATGTTGTATTAAAATATCTTTAGAGAAAAGATTTCCACATTTTGCCTGTTGTCATAGATACTTCAAGAATGAGAGGAGGAAAAATAATTCCAAGGGAACACGAGATGGCAGCAGTTATATCACAGAAAGAGAAAGATGGGAGAAAGAAAAAGATTTGAAATGATATTTAAAATTAAAAAAACAAACAAACATGTAGCACCTCATTATTATTTTTTTTTCCAATTCCACAAAGCATTGTGTTTATTGTTGAGTCTCAGATGAGAACGGATTATTATTGAGATGGCTTGTGTACATATTGGAGGGGCAATAGCCACTAGGAGTCAGTGCAGGGGCTATAGAACATTGGATCCTTGCCAATTTTGTCCCCAAGGAGCTTTTCAATGACACCTTATTCTTTATGTGTTGTATTCCTTTCCAGTACAGAGATTACTCAGTCATTGGTTTCATGCTTCACAGCCCATCTGAGGTACATTGTGACTATAGTAAAAATCCTACTCCATGTGATTATTTCCTAGAATATAGCTGTTGTTGTTTTCTGCAGATTACTGTTCCTCTGTGTTATCTGAGGCAGAAGAGTTCTGTATGGTGCAAATTCGTTTTAAATGTTCCAGCATTGCTTTTTCTTCCTCTTCTAGTGTTTCATCCTTCCTCATTTCCCACCTAGAAAAAAAAATTCACATCTTAGTATTCTTATACTTTCAAACTACAGTGAGGACTCAGTTATTCAAGCCTTGAATATGTAGTCACTGTTATTGAGGCAACCTTTTTTTCTTGTTGGTTCGTTTACTGTCTGCCTCTTGGGCACTGCAGTTCATTGGCACTGCTTCTTCACAGTGGTGCAGGAGGACAGGAGAGGAAAACTGAGTCAAACCAGCTCCCTCCAGTATCGAGTTTTAGAGTATTGCTTTTTATAATTTTTTTGTACCTAGATATTAAAATGTTATGTGGCCTACCAGAATATACACACACATATATAAAATCTACAATAAGCTGCAATTAATAAGCAAATATTTTAAAAAGTATCTTTCCCTCAGTGATGAAGTTATATAGGGGTTTTGCAGGAAAATCTTAGCAGCAAAAAGAATATTAAGCTAAACTGAATATACTTTAAAGGCAGGTCAGTCTATTTCTAGAAAGAAGATCAGATTTGAAATAATCAAATTAAATCACCCAAGAAAAGCAGCAAATTGTTAGCAAGGTTCTATAGAGCACTCCTTGGAAGGAAGGTTGGGCAATCTACTTCCGTAGTGATAACCGCCTGGGAAACCCAAGCAGGGGTTGCTATGAGTCAGGTCTGACTTGATGGCACATAACAACAACAACAACATAGAGCTTTTACTAAAACAGTGGTTAAAGACTTAATTCTGGGTGATTGGCAGAAATAGGATAAAGTGTTAGACTATGACATTGTAACTATACGTATATATATAAACTTATTAACTAAATACTATCAGGTACTTTTGAGTATATTTTAATGCATTTTCTATTATCTGCATAGATTTCCTTTTGCTTTCTCCAACTCTTATTTCTACCAACCCTCAAGCCATCCACTATGATTAAAAAAAACCCAAAACACAGCCATCGAGTCGGATCTGACTCACAGCGACCCCTCCTTAGGTTTCCGAGGCGGTATCACTACAGAAGTAGATTGCCCAACCTTCCTTCCCAAGAGTGGCTGGTAAGTTTGAACTGCCAGCCTTCTGTTTAGTAGTCTGATGCCTTAGGCACTACGCCATGCCGTTAAAAAAAGAATTTTTTAAACCAATGCTTGTCCATACTAAAGGACCCTCTGCCATCAGAGCTTCAAATAAACAGAACTTCTAATACTAAACAAGCTTACTGAATGTCCTCCAAAAGCTCCTTATTTTATTATAGTCAGAAATCCGGGATGACAAATACCCTGTCATACATGAGGAAAACACATTGTTTTTCTCGGATGGGGAGGGGCATGAGGGAATTTTTTATGTTGTTTGAGTGGTGAAAAGAAAACAGGGGCACTGCTATTTCCATAGAAAGCTCCAAGTAGGATGCCTGTTCCCACACAGAATTCTTCTTGTAATGCTTGGTTCAACAAGCTCTGGTCAGTCCTGGAGATTAAAAAACAAAAAAAAACAAAAAAAACTTTCACTGTCCTTTTTATATGGATGGAGTTGGGCATCAATATGCATGTTACATTGAGCCCCGTTCAAGTAGGAAAATAAGTAATAATGTAAAATACTTATATAGCATTAACTGTGACCTAAGGGGAAGCTCTGGTAGCATAGTGCCTAAAGCACTTGACTGCTAACCAGAAGGCTGGTGGTTCAAACTCACCAGCCACTCCTCGGAAGGAAGATGGGGAAATCTACTTCTGTAGTGATACTGCCTCCGACTGGACCACAGATAACAACAACAACAACATGGCCTAAGGGCAGTCTTGATGACACAGCGGGTAAGCAATTGTCTGCTAAGTGAAGTTCAGTGATTTGAACCCACCAGCCACCTGGAAGAAGAAAGATGTGGCAGTATGCTTACAGACTTGGAAACCTTATGGGGCAATTCTACTCTGTCCTATTGGGTTGCTATGAGTTGGAATCCACTGGATGGCAATAGGTTTTCTTTTTTTTTGGCTTTATGTGTCAAGCACTAACATATTACTTTAAAACACTTGACATCACTTTTTAAGTCCTCACTACAATATGTTATTATTTCCATTCTAGAGATGAGTAAATTGAAGCATAGAATGTTGAAGTCAGTTGCCCAAGTATCTTGAGGGATTTGAACTCAGGCCCTGGAGTTTGAGCTTGTAAAATGCAATACCAATCCTAGTTTTACAATCATTTTACAAGTATCATTAATTACTGGTAAAACTAGTTCAAATATTTCATTTTCTAAAAAAATGTCTTTCTGACATTCTGAAAAATACCTGTCTTTCTTGGGCTATACATTAAATAAAATAGCTTTCTAAGGATCATATGAATACTCTTAATAGGAATTCAAATATGAGAAATTAGGTTTGCTTTTTTTTCCCTCTCACGCAAAGGTGCTAACACTGCACTGAGTAAATGAATTATTTTATGAATGTCAACAGAACAAAATATGTAATATGCACATAAATATTTTGATCATTGTCTCTGCTTATGAAAATTGAAAGCACAGTTTCTTTGCTTCATTAAAAAATCTGTATAATTAATGTAATTTAAATGAATTGTATACATAATAGAACCCAAGATAAGGATTCTGAAGCTTCATGACAATTATAGGCCCTTCACTGTATAATTGAGCTGTTAGTAATTAATGATATTAGGCAAAGTTATTTACCTACCACAGCCTTCTTGAATTTGCTTGTGCTTATTAAGAAGAAATAATTTCATAACAGAACAAAAATTATGACAAAGATAGGTGAAAATAATGTTACTCACTGCTGTCAAGTTGAATCTGACTCATAGCTACCCCTCCTTGGGTTTCTGAGGCGGTATCACTATGGAAGTAGATTGTCCAACCTTCCTTCTGAGGAGTGGCTGGTGGATTTGAACCTCCAGCCTTCTGTTCAGCAGTCACATGCCTTAGGCACTCCCAGACTTGGCTATACAGAACCTGAATTTGTTTTCTGGAATCTAAGCATTTTAATCTATATTCAGTGTGCTACTACTAGAGGACTAGTCCCCCAATATTGTCCTTAGACCACAGAAAGCCTAGACACTTAAGTGTTCAGAAATATGGATAACACATCTCAGTATATATTTATCTATATGCAATAACAAAAAGATATATTAATCACAGTTGAAAATCAATATGCTTTTAGTATGCTAATTAATATTTGGGGAGTTATGCTTGCATAAGCATGTGTGGATGTGTGTACGCACATGTATGTTTGGGTGAGAAAGAGACAGCAAGAGACTCCTAAAATAAAATCTTACTATAAACCCAGCATTTCAGTTCCATGAACATTTGGATTTCCTAAGCATTGCCTATATTATAATTTTCCATTTTACATAGGTCCTCATCATTCATAAGCTCTCATAAAGATGTAACTTGAATTCTGAACATAAAATAGAATCTGGACTGGTTGATGCAATATAGGCATACCTCAGAGATATTGCTGGTTCAGTTCCAGACCACCAATAAAGCAAATTGTTACAATTTACAACACAATTTACAAATTACAATAAAATGAGTCACATAATTTTTTTGGTTTCCTAGTCCATTTAAAAGTTATGTTTACTATAATCTATTAAGTATGCAATAACCAAAAATCAAAACCAAACTCACTGCTATGAAGTTGATTCTGACTCAAAGAGACCCTTCAAGTATGCAATAGCATTATGAAAAAGTCTGAAATATTGTGAAAATTACCAAAATCTGACACAGAGACATGAAGTGAGCACATACTCTTGGAAAAATGGTGCCAACAGACTTGCTTAATGCAGGGTTGCCATAAACCTTCAATTTATAGAAAATGCATTATCTGTGAAGTTCAATAAAGTGAAACTCAATAAAATGAGGTATGCTTGGATTGCATAATCCCTGGCATGCATTATGAGGATGTCATAAGAATACAAGGCGCTCTGGTGGCGTAGTGCCTAAGGCATTCTTGACTGCTAACCAGAGGCTGATGATTCAAACCCACCAGCCGCTCTGGCCTGTATTGAATAATCCCTGGCATATACTACGAGGATGTCATAAGAATAGGATGGACAAAATAATGTTGTGCTTAAGAGCACAAGAATGATAAGAGGATTAATATCTGAAAACTGTCTGGCTCTTTCTTATGCTTCAAAATGAAGCAACTGCATGTTTTTACACTCCCATCTTTTCTCTACCTTTTCATTTATGCAATTGGTAGAGTTGTGAGAAAGAACAGAACATAGTTCAACGCTAAGAAACTATCTGCCAGACAGGCAGCTAGCTACCACTGTACCAACTAGATAAGTTTCTTAGTCATGCAGTAAATCTTAGTAGGGTAAGTTCTAGCCCAGACACTGGGTAACTATAGCCCTGAGTGGTAAATTCAATCCAGGAATGTTTTAGTTAGGATTAGGCTCAGCTTTTAGTAACAGACTCTAATTCAGTTGCTTAAACTCATGAGGGTTTAAAGTCTCACCTAACAGAAAGGCAACATGAGGCTAATATGGTGACTTTATAAATTCATCAAGCTCAGACTTTCTTTCCCATCATTTGATCCAAAATGGTTGCTGGAGTGCCAACCATTATGGCTATAGTCCAGGCAGCAAGCAGAGGAAGGGGATAGGAAGAGGAGTACTTCTAACCTTTTTAAGATGTGTTCTAGGTAAGTTAATACCTCAACTTACCTCTCATGGACTACAATTTTGTAACATATTGCAAGGGAGGTTGAAAGACTATAATTTTTAAATTTAATACATTTCTAAACATTCTTAACTAAGCTCCCTTCTTCAGGAAGAGACTAGGTATCGAGAGGCAACTTGAAGTCCCTATTGTAACAGAAATGTTGTTGTTGTTAGGTACTGTTGAGTAGGCTCTGACTCACAGTGACCCTGTGCACAACAGAATGAAACACTGTGCTGTTCTGTGCCATCTTCATAATCCTTGCTATGCTTGAGCTCATCCTTGAAACCACTGTGTCAATCCAGTTTATTGAGGGCCTTCCACTTTTTCACTGAACCTCTACTTTACGAAGCATGATATCCTTTTTCAGGAAA